TTCATAACAGGGGAGATGTCACATATTGTGCAGTGCGCCACCTATATGCTGTGTGTATTGACCTGGGAGGTCATTGTGTATCTCAGTAGAGCCGATTCTAACTAGAGGATCAGAGAGGCAATACCACGTCCGAATATTTTACCACCAGCTGGAGTAAGCACATTCGTATAGACCCCCCCTGCAAAAAAAAGGGACACCACCACCACCAGTCTTGTGCTTGACAAGCTGTAAAAAACGCAATCAACAAGAATTCTCAAAATATGCAAAAAATATATATAACTAAAAATGATATAATCAAAGTTCAGTTCATCGTAAGGTAGGTCAAAGGATAATTTCAAGGTCACAGAAAATTTCCAGTATATGACTTTCTATTCAAGTTCAATAGTAACTATGGACCTATCTCTGCCAGTTTTGCAGATATAAGGGAACCAAAATTTGTAAAGTTCAATTCATGATGAAAAGTAGGTCAAAGGTCAATTTCAAGGTCACACTTAGCTTGCCAGTATATGACTTCCTATTCAAATTCAATAGTAACTATGGGCGTATCTTGGTCAGTTTTGGAGATAAAAGGGAACCAAAATTTGCAAAGTTAAGTTCATGGTGAAAAGTAGGTCAAAGGTCAATTTTAAGGTCACAGTAAATTGCCTCTAATAACTTCATATTCAAGTTCAATAGTAACTATGGACCTATCTCTGCCAGTTTTGGAGATAAAAGGGAAACAAATTCTTGAAATGGGAGGTGCTCAGAAGTTCCAGATGTTCAAATTTCATGAAATAATGTCATTCTTGACCAGAAGTTGTCTGCCTCGCCAAGCCTTATGTTTTATTTTCCGGGGGTTCAAAATTTATTATCCATTACCGTACTGCACATTTTGCTTTCACCACCAATATGTACTTTTTGATACAGCGTAACTAGAAAACCGTACAGAATACACCTCCAGTGTTGGGCTTTACATGCTCTACAAAATGCAAGAAGGAATGGGTCTCTAGCATTAACGGTTCCCGAATTAGAGTTTTCAGTTTCGGTATCTTATGGCTGCCACTCCCATGAAAATGCACCGATAGACCCCAAATTCACGGAGATGAAAGATGATCCAAAGGGTAACACTTTCCAATAATATTATTGGTTAAGTCTGTGTAGTGTCTGAATAACAGCGCAAATTTTTTTTTCGTAAAAAATTTCGTTTTTTTGAAAATTTTGGCCCGTTTGACCTTGAAATAAAGGTCAAAGGTCAAATCCAAGGGCATATTTGAAATCTACACATATGACTTTAGGAAAGCCGTCTGTAGAAATTTTTCCCATAATTCCTTCCGTAGGGTAGATAATTAGAGGAGGCCCTTACCATCTAAGAGGAGAAACAGTAACGGTAACATGGCGGCGGAACGATCCGGACAGGACTAAAACCATGTGTACCACCAGCGCCAATGCTGGTGGTACAATAAACACGTGTCCTGACAAAAAGGCAGTTGTTATAGTCACAAATGCAAGTGTTTGAGAAAAAATTAAAAAGGAAAACATAACAAAACAAGAAAAGCACTCCGAGAGCGCAGACCTCTGCCAAGGCAACAATTGTTGATTATTGATTGATTTTTGATGCGGACCACCACCAGAAACTAATCATAGTCCTCCTTGGCCCACTTCTGACAGTTCCTGAAAATTTCTTTAATATCGGTCCATAACTTTTTGAGTAATGTTGATGACAGACAAACAGGGGTAACCTACTTGGCAGAGCCTATATTAACAACTTATTTGCAATATTAAACAAAATTTACCTGCATAATTATACTTGTAAGTTAAAGGGATAATAACTCTTCGATTCTGCCAAAAAATTAATTTTCCTAGAGTAAACAACAATTTTCCCATACTTACCAATGGTTAATGAATCCATTTTTACATTCAAAGTTAGTCCCTGGTTTTTTTCTTAAAAGTTTGGTTTTTTGTTAAAATCTTTTAAGAGATTTTAACAGAGTATATATAGCCATCAATGGAGGTCACGTGGTCTAAAGACAAGCTCAGATATCAGAATAATAGCTATAACTGCCGTTTTTGTGGTAAAACGGATGTTATATTTCTATGAGTTATTCACAGTGTTTTATTGTGAAATATAGACCTATATACGAAGAGTTACTATCCCTTTAAAAAAATAATAAGTAACAGTTTTCTTTTCTTAATGTTTGTAGTAGCAGTGCTAAAAGATTTTTGTCAATTTTGAAGTAACATTACATAATAAACTAGAGGATCAGAGAGGCGATACCGCCTCCGAATATTGTACCACCAGTCCAAATTTTATCCAGAATTGTGCAAAAGATGATAAAAGCATGAAATTTTCCACGATGAATGACCATTGGGTGTTTGTCAACCCCCTGATCCAAAATAGACGAACACCCAATGATCATTCATCGTGGAAAGTTTCATGCTTTTATCATCTATTGCACAATTCTGGATAAAAATTTGGACTTAGCCACCTGACTATACCGCACTGCACATTTTGCTTTCACCACCAATATGTACTTTTTGATAGCGTAACTCAAAAACTGTTTGGAATACAAAAAAACGGAGACCACCTACAGTGTTGGGCTTTACATGCTCTACAAAATGCAAAAAAGAATGGGTCTCTGGCATTAACGGTTCCCGAATTAGAGACAGTTTTCAGTTTCGGCATCTTATGGCCGCTACTCCAGTGAAAATGCACCGATTGACCCCAAATTCACGGAGATGAAAGATGACCTGAAGGGTAACACTTTCCAATAATATTATTGGTTAAGTCTGTGTGGTGTCTGAATAACAGGGCAAAAAAATTTTTTTTCATAAAAAATTTTATTTTTTTGAAAAATTTGGCCCGTTTGACCTTGAAGTAAAGGTCAAAGGTCAAATCCAAGGGCATATATGAAATCTACACATATGACTTTTGGAAAGCCGTCTGAAGAAATTTTTCCCATAACCCCTTCCGTAGGGTAGATAATTAGCATTTAATTTTGCCATTTTTGGACAAGGGTGCATTGCAATGAGTGCCACACCCAGACCCCAATACCGGCAAAGCCCAAATTTTACGTGGTATGAGCTGAGGTTATAGGTGACCTAAATCCAAGAGATGGGTACGGGGGCCCTTACCGTCTAGGAGGAGAAGCGGTAACGGTAGCCGTCCGGCGGAGCCGGCAGAACGATCCGGACGGGACCGAAACCATGTGTACTGCCAGCGCTAAAGCTGGTGGTACAATTATAGAATAATAATTATCACCAATTTTTATGTACAGACAGAGATGTGTCTGTACATATTGCCATCACCTGCATCTGTCGTCGCCGTCCATGTCGCCGTGCACTTTCAGCGTTAACACCATAAGTGGAAGACAGTTTTACTTTTTGGCTTAATATGTACAGAGCTGATGAATACTCATTAAACGCAGGTCAAGTTCGAAAATCAGCATGATCGGGCCATTATTGTAGAAGTTGTGCTGTTTTTTTCACTTTTCAACATATATGCAACACTGTTAACACATTTCAAGGAAAACTGATAGGCCTGTTCTCATGAAACTCACAGGAGTAATCAATCTTACTAAAAGGCAGGTCAAGTTCGAAAATCAGCATGATCGGGCCACTGTTTTGGCAGTTATGCTGTTCTTATCACTTTTAACCATGTATGCAACACTGTTAACACATTTCAAGGAAAACCATTAGGCCTTTCGTCATGAAACTCACAGGAGTAATCAATCTTACTAAAACGCAGGTCAAGTTCGAAAATCACCATACTCAGGCCATTATTTTAAAAGTTATGCTGTTTTTTCACATTTCCTCAGATTCAATTCCTAAGCATGTTAACAGTTTCATTATTTAACTAGTAAGATACGAAAAAGTGTTTGTTTGACATTTCCTGCATCTTTACAACATTGTTAGATGATTATGTAAAAATGATGGTAAACTTGTTATCATGTATTGCATAATAGAGTTTCAAAAATGGAAATAAATAAAGGGTACCGGAGAAGATCAGCATTGGTCAGAATTGTGCCGGAAGTGACGCGTAGTGGTGTAAGACGTAAAGCTGAGTGGTCATTTTTAGCTGGAGGTGAACGGGAGAAAAGACATGGACTCGGAGAAAAAAGTTTTTCAAACAACATGGTAAGATGACATTTCTTCCTCTACGCATTTTGGGCAGAGAATACTTGTAGAAATAATAGGCACATGATATGAAAACGTGAAACGGAACTTGCAGGAAAGGAACATGGGACCTAAATAAAGCTTCAGTAGGCAATGCAGTCTGTTTGGTAAATTTTTCTGGCAGTTAAACAGTTTTTTATGAAAATTTAATTTTTCACATATTGGCATTTTCAAGGTGTGACTTTGTGACATGTAGAAAATTCATTCTGAGATTCGTAGATTCCGGACTGAATCTGACAAACTGCAATGATATGTGTTTATTTCCATTTTTGACACTTTATTACACAATACACGATAACAAGTTTACCATCATTTTTATATAATCAACTAACAATGTTGTAAAGATGCAGGAAATGTCAAACAAACACTTTTATGTATCTTATTATTTCAATAATGAGACTATTAACATGCCTAAGAATTGAATCTAAGGAAATGTGAAAAAAAAAGCATAACTTCTAAAATAATGGTCCAATTATGCTGATTTTCAAACTTAACCTGCGTTTTCGTAAGATTGACCACTCCTGTGAGTACAATGACAATTGGCCTATCTGTTTTTCTTATATTGTGTTATCAGTGTTGCATATATGCTGAAAAGAATGAAAAAAACAGCATAACTTCCCTAAAAATGGCCCGATCATGCTGATTTTCGAACTTGACCTGGGTATTAGGAAGATTCACCAGTTCTGTAAGTTTCAAGCCAAAAAGTAAAACGATATTCCTCTTATCATGTTATCACTGAGTGCACAGCGACGGCGACAGCAACGACAGCGTCTGTACATAAAAAAGCTGAACATATATAAGTTGATACATGCACCTTCTATGCAGTGTACTTGAAGCAGCACATATACCTTCATTTCCTCTCTTCCTTCTTTCATAAACCAAAAAGAATATTGCCACGATGCCAACTAGTACCATTACTACTACAGCACCTCCTATGACAACAGTGCACACCCATGGGTAGTCAGCTAAGGGTGAGAAATTAAAATACAGATATTACTCAAACTTTTCAATGGGCAATAGTGATCAAAATGTCAGATACAAAATTTTATTATCACAAAAATTATCTCTGAAAAATACAGCATCTGTAAAATCTACAATTTTTCCCACTGAAAGATTGAGCAATTACTGAAAATATTTGAATGTAAACCCTGCTTGAAATACCTTTTACAAGCAATGTACATGCATGTGTGTGTGAAGAGGGAGAGAGAGAGGGAGAGAGAAGGGGGAGAGGGAGAGATAAGGGGAGAGAGAGAGAGATAATAATCCATTCATTATTCAAACAAATGTTCCATTAATTTTATAAATGGCCTTTGAACTAGAAATAGTGAACTAAAATTGTATATTTTCCAAGCTAGTTTAAAAGGTGAATAGAAGAATCTGTGCCTACCACCCACAGTTGAGGGTGGAGGTGTTGTGGGTTTAGGACCTGGAGGAGTTGGTTTGGGTGGTGGTGGGAAAAATGGCGGCTCTGCAGGAAAATGCTGCACTTTGTAGTCCATATCTATGTAGCATATATCATGCCGGAACAGAGCATCACACTCCTTCATTAGGTGACCCCAGATGACAACTCCAGTAGCTATGTTAGTCTTGTTACAGAAACCATACCTGAAATATGAGGCATTTACATTTTGTATATGCAACAATATGTTAACACACACACACACACACGCACACACACACAATAAATTTTGTGGCAAAAAAATTGATTTCAAGTGCATCTTTAAGAGTTTTTGTTTGAAAAAATTCCTGGCTTATTAAAATCAAAAGAATCACAATTTTATTAAACAAACCTTTCACTCTTGACATAACCATGGACAGTTAGCTAGTTTCTTCAAACTGACAAATTTCTACTACACATACTTCAGGTACTTTTCTCAAAAAAAAAAAAAAAAAAAAAAAAAAACTTGTCAAAGTATGTAAAATCCTCAGCTGGTCATTATTTACCTGTCATCTGTATCAGTATACTGGTCTGCTGGGTATTTAGAACACAAACAGGGATAAGGTGTTGCTATTTCATTTGTCAGCAGGTATTCACCTATAACACAAGAGAAACTAGATTTGCTGACTAGATTTCTTTTAAAAATGTTCACAACAGAATGTATAAATTATACAATATCAAAAAATACCTTCTTTACAGGGTGGGCAACTACTGTTTGTGATTTAACTAATGGTCCCTGAATCCACTGCAAGATAGTAATTATTACTTATGGTAATATACTTTTATTACAGTGGAAGATATCCCTAAAAAGTAAATACAGTATCAAAATGTAAATATGAATATAATCATATATTTTTCTTACCTGGCAGACTGAGAGCCATATCTACATGTATGTGCTCTTCTGTCAAATTCTTCACCATATGCTGGTCTCCGAACCCTTAAACAAACAATGCAGTTAAGCAATTAAAATAATCAATGATATTTCTTAACTAGTTTATAATAGCATTCCCAAATCAGGGCAAATAAAGTTTCTAATAATTGTATATATTCAAGCTTGGGTTTTAAATTTAAAAAATCAACAAGACAGCAAAGCTGTCAAATGTACAGACAAAAAGCAGAAAATAAAGATGCACAAAATAGGTCAATTTATATATGTCTTATATTACAATGAAAGATATCCCCAATGCACGTAAATATCAAATAGTATAAATATGTAAACATTACCTGGCAGACTGCACATCATATCTAAATGTATGTGTTCTTCTGTCAAATTCTTCTTCATCTGGTGATTCTGGTCTCCAAACCCTTAACAAACAAGGCAGTTAAGCAATTAAAATAATCACTGATATTTTGTAACTAGTTTAAAATAGCATTTCCAAGGAAGTTTACAATAATTGACTTAAAGGGATGAGATCTATATTTCACAATAAAAACATTGTAAACAACTCATAGAAATGTAATATATTCTGTTTTACCACAAAAACGGCAGTTACAGCTATTATTCTGAAACGGATTCGGTAGCCATTGGTAAGTATGGAAAAATTGTTGTTTACTCCAGGAAAATTTTTGTTGGCTGAAATGAACAGTTATTATCCCTTTAAGTTTCAGGTCTTTAAACACATTTTTAAAAAGTTGTCCATCATTATTACTTATAGTAATATACATATATTACAATAGAAGACATATCCAGTCCACATAACTATCAAAGTTTATGTAAATATGAATATAATCATATATTTTCTTACCAGGCAGACTGTAAATCATATCTAAATGTATGTCCTCTTCCGTCAAATTCTTTGTCACATGGTGATGCTTGTCTCCAAACCCTTAAATAAACAACACAGTTAATTAAGCAATTAAAATAATCAAAAATAGCATTCCCAATGAATATTTCAATAATTAACTTGAGTTTCAAGTCCTTAGATATAATTTTTAAAAAGTTGTCCATCTTGCTCCAAGAATGTTCAGTTAATTAGTACTAGCACATCAGCAAACATACCATTAGGATACACATATAATATGAAAAACTACACATGTACAGTAATTATGATCTGAGTGTGTGAACAAAAGCAACAAGCACTAGTCATGGGCGT